TATATATGTGTATATATATATATATATATGTAACATTTTAAAAAAGTAATTCAAAATAAATATTTATAAATATTTATCTAATAACTTACTAATATTGGATGCTGATAAAAAATATGTATTTCTATTTAAAAAAGCAAAGTTGACCTTGTCCTGATCTTGGCGACGTCATCTTAGGTCAAATAATTACTGTCATTAAATGCGACTTTTTAAGCCTTACAACTTTTATTGGAAACATTTTTCTCTAAAATGCTCCCCCGCCGAGTTTTCTTAGCATTCCGGTACTTTTTGGACACTCTGTATACATGAAATCGATAACGTCGCTAAATAATGATAACGTTTTCTACTTTTTGACTATCGCCTCTACGTTATCGATGCTTAGCGAGTTCGTCATCCACTTCAGCATCGCCTTAAAATATCTTTGTGAGCATATTATATATATAAAATTATACAATACATATATATATATATATATATATATATATATATATATATATACTATAATAATTCTATTTCTACTCCGTCCCATTCGAACATCCTTACACGGCACATTTCCTCCTACGCCTAAGCGAAACCGCGACGTGCGGTGTTCCTCCCTAATTACCACAACGGTCAATTACAAGTGATTCGAATATTCGAACTCGCTGCCGCGCGATCCAGAACGAGGTTCCCCAGAGTCGGCAGCACCTAGAGGTCCAGAAGGTGCCGATCCACGTAAGCCACGAGAGCGCCATCCAGGAGTACAGAGAGCAACCGCACGGTGGACGATCACTGGTAAGTCATTATCTACATTATTTCTATACGCGCGAAACTACGATTAAAGCCTGCGACTGTCCGACCGTAAGGTTACCCTACGGTGGTTATACTACGCGTCTTGCGCGAAATCCATCACGATTATCCTTGATCATACGGATCTCCGGGTAGAATCACACGATTCGTTTAGGCCGAAAAATTGCGATCTGATCCTGTGCTAGGGTTCGAGCGCTATTCTTCACGACAGCGTGGCCGCAACCCGCCGGAACGTAACAATAGCAATATCGTTTCCGATTTTATCCTGTACCTGTTAAGAAAATTGTAAAATTTTATTTAATTATACTGAATAAATTAATAAATTCAATAAAATTCATTTTAATTATACATATAGAATATTTTTTCGCTTGCTCTTTACTACGATCCAGTGTCAGACTATTCCCTGTTTCAGTACGCGAGAGTTTGTTCCTATGGTCCCACGGAGCGGAATTATTGTAAGAGTTATTGGCAGTTCGCCAATCATAAAACTGTTTAGGAGAAAGAAATAAAGAAATCGTCTCGTGATTGGCTATCCGCTTAATATGCTTACGCGCATTCCGCTCCATGGGACCATGGGAATGAAACTCCATGTATCAAAAACAGCGGAACGTCTGCGATTGGTGAAATGTTCGATACGTGCAATCCGCGATACGCACGATACGCTCCATGGGACTCCACCCTTAAGCTGGCAGCCGAAGAGAGAGAAAGAGAGAGAGACTAGAGGTTCTCTAGTAGGGGTACCATATAACGACATAACCAAAATATTTTTTTGATAGCTATTCTTCCAGCACGTGTTGTAATTTGAATTATCATCAATAATGGTTTACTATTTTACAAGTGAAGGTACCTTCATGGTCTTTCAAACGATACTTTTTATCTCCAATGCGAGGAATTCTTATGTTTCTCTGAGCAATTAATGATATCGTTTTGTTGTATTTTGAGGTTAGAATAATGAATGCTAATCTTGAATTGCAGTGGTACAGCCATCGGTCACGTTGTTCATGGGAATTGACAAGTACGAGAGTAAGTAAAATAGTGTAAAATTACATAATATATAAAATTGCTCGCAGCTTTTGCTACATATGATTGAGTGAATTTTGCTTGTTTTTGTTGCAGACGAAGACCTTATCAGGTGGGGTTGGCCAGAGGACGTATGGTTTCATGTTGACAAATATTCGTCAGCTCATGTGTATCTTCGATTGCGACACGTGAGTCCAATTGTCAATTGGAGATCTAACTTTGTGTCTTAACAAATAAGAAGATCATATGAAATGTGTCAATCTTGTTTCTTAAAATTACAGGGTCAGACAATAGATGACATTCCTAGCACAGTGCTAGAGGATGCTGCACAGCTGGTGAAGGCAAATAGCATTGATGGGAACAAAATGAACGACATTGATGTAGTATACACAATGTGGTCGAATTTGAAGAAAACACAAGGTATGGGAGTTGGCCAAGTCGGTTTTCACAAAGACAAGGATGTTCGTAAAATTCATGTTGCCAAGAGAATCAATGTTATCGTGAATCGTCTCATTAAAACAAAACGCACAGAACAAGTGGACTTCAGAGCTGAAAGAGAACAGAGAGATAGACTTGAACGAGAAGATAAAAAGAAACTTCTGAGGGAACAGAAAGAAAAAGAAAAAGTCGAGGAAAAGCGACGTCAGGAAGAAGCTGAAATGAAGTAGTAAATCATTTCTTCTTTTTATCTTTTTTCCCTTTGATGTTCTTTTATTAACCAATAATTCTTTTCTCTTTTCAGAAGTTACAATTCTTTATTTAATACGTCTAATATGACTTCAAATACAGAAACCAGTGGATATGATTCCGACGATTTCATGTGATTGAAACCAATGCTCGCATTTGTAACATGTGCCTAATTTAGAGGTATGCAAATTTCATCCCGCTATCTAATTCACGATTATTGTGTACTCCTAATAACAAGATGAATAACACTGAAATTTAGGTTTAACTATATACATGTGGTTACAATTGTTTACACTATTGTGTAATGTTCCAAAGTAATTTAAAAAAATAAATATGAAAGTGCATTAAGATACAGCATCTCTGTACATAGCTCAATTATAAAAACGAAAAGTCCAGAAGAATATATGCTTTGGTCCAGAATAACACAATAATTGCGCGCAGTACAAGTTCTAACTTCACAACAAAATAACATTGACAGCCTCTAAAGCATTAACTATCCACGTTGGGTAGTCCTTATTAGGATACGCTGTCAACATGTAATCCTGTATAAATTTAGGAAATCTCCGTTCTTTTATGCTCTCTCTGATATCCCGCATAAGCCGCATTTGGAATGCTATGTTGTGAACGGTTAATAAGTGACAAGATACAGTTTCAATAGTAGCGATTTGATGCAGATACGCGCGCGTATGAGTTTTGCAAGTGCTGCACTCGCATGATTCGTCTATCGGCCTCAAGTCCTTGCTGTATTGTGCCTTCTTCAAATTAAGTTGCCCCGTTCTCGTCAACGCGCAGCCAAACCTCTGAGAATATATTATATCGTAATATTTTAAACTTATGTATTTTTAAATTTTGTATTTTTATATTCTTACATATCTTTCAGAGTGCCCACTCTATAAGGTACTCACGGCTGTCCTTGTCGGAAATACGCAATCGTACATATCGATTCCTAGCGCGCAGCACACAACCAAATCAACGGCGAATCCGACGCCCATGAGATAACGCGGTTTATTTTTGGGAAGTATGTCCGTCGACAGATGCACCATTCTCCAAAAGTCGTCTTTGCTCTCGCCACCACTGCAAATCGTTAAGAACGATTGTCACTGTGTAATGCGAATTACATATGCTACATGTAAGGATGTTTATGTTCTATATAAATTTTTTTCTGTTCCAACTTGCGTGTTATTAAAATTGCTGAATAATCTGAAAGTTCACCTTAAGCCTCCTACAGCATAACCGTTCACTTCCCGTTGAATTACTTGACGTGCGCTCTCGGATCGCAATTTCGGATCGAGACCGCCTTGCACAATTGGAAATATGCTTTGCTCCATTGGTCGCTTGTGTGCCGCCAGACAGCGATCTAACCAACGCGTTGTCCTAAAGTGATTTATCAGGCAACATTTTAATTAAACTCAACGTTAAAACTCCTGGTCCCAGTGCTACGAAACCCTGGATTAATAAAGCGAAAAAACTCATGCCAAGAACCCTTGCATGCCATTTTCAAATAAAAAGGGAAAAATATGAATTCACAGAAGTAATAGAGCAATAAAATCAAATAATTGGTGAACATTCTCCAAAAAGTGTGATAAAAAATTTAATTTAATCAAGAGATTAAACACCAAACATTTCGGCCCATTTCGACCGCAGCATCCTACAAAGTGTACTTGTGAATATTGTGATGATTGTGCTTGTCTCATTTCCACATGTCATCTCAAGTGGTTTTAACCTCGGATTGAAGTTCTAAATGTATTAAGAATTAGTTTAGTATCCTCCAGTTGCTGTTAGGCGAACGTTTTTGACCGACGTTTTGTTATTTTGCAACTTCGTATTTTGACTTTTGTATGGCATTTTTTATTTACCACTGAGAAGGGTCCACGAATGGACCGAAACATTTGATGTTATTTAATCTCTTGTATTGATTAAATTAAATTTTTTATCACACTGTGAAAAACGTTCACCAATATTTGGTTTTATTGCACTATTACTTCTGTGCCTGAACTTATATTTTGCCCTTTTTATTTGATGACTTTTATCTTAAGAGTTCTTTCTTTAACAATTTAAAAAGATATTTATATGAAAGAATAGATCGCTCTTGAGCGTGTTTGTAAAATGCCTCAAAAACTATCTCTTTTTTTTAAGTAATACAGAAGTACTAGTTGTAAAAACAAAATAATTATTAAAATAATGGTTATACCTGTGCATCGCCTCTTCTACTCTCAGCCCAGTTATAGTACTTTTAACAACGTCATCAAGCTGCATGATTATGTCAGCACCAATTGCATTTTGAATGTGAATTGAATGTTCAGGTGTCAGCATACATTCTGATTCTGTAAAACATACAACGTACGTTATACTCAGATAGAAATGCGTGATAATCATGTTTCATCACAATGTGATTTTATACTATGACTTCAATTTGATACTTTTTTAAAGATCATTACGTAATCTCATGACATGAGCACTAGATGCACACAAATGATGTACAAATTATGTTGCAAGTTCTCGATATGATGTTGATTATTATTATTATTAAATAAGATATTTTTGTGACATCATAATATGTCTGCATTCTGAGGCACATATGAGCCCGCATCAGTATCTATTGTCCTCATGTCTTAAAGATATATGAATACACTATGAGCTCAGAATGAACACATTTTCCTATCTGGGTATATATAAGTTATGTGTGAGTGAAGTTAAAATCCAGATAGCATAGAACATCTAGAAGTCATCTTGGATGTACTCTGCGGATCATAAAGTATCTTCTGGATATCCTGATAATATTTTGAATGATTCTGGGATGTTTTGTGCTATCTGGAAAATATGTATCCAATTGTATATAGTACCATTGTATGGAGACTTGAACTTGACCCCTTCCTCTGTTATTTCAGCCAGTTGTAACAATGAGACCATTTGGAAACCACCCGAATCTGTTAACAGAGCTCTTTTCCAATTCATAAACTTGTGCAGTCCACCAGCTTTACATAGAATGTCTGCACCCTATATCAAAAGCACAATCTACTGTAATATAATAGAAACAGCTTGTACAATTTTACTAATGTACATCCAAAGTTGGAGTTCTGGATAAGACTTTCTCATTTAAATCAATTGATATTGTTTTCCATTTGACCTTAATATATTTTTTTTTATATTTGGCATTGCAGAAGTGGTTTTTCTTTTATTACAGTGCGATTTCGATTCTTACTGGTCTATTTCCGAGATGATAGGTGTTGCCAAGAATGATTTGGCAATCCAATTGCTCCAATTGCTGAGGCAGCAATCCTTTTAACGTTCCCTGAAAAATGCACATTAGCTGTGATGAAATTGACGTATCGATTATCTTGATTATTTTAAATTATATGAGAGATATTTTGTGAACCTGTGTTCCCACCGGCATAAATACCGGTGTGTTTACGTGATGATGAACAAGTATCATTCTACCGGCTCTGGCCTTTGTGATTTGGCATTCGGCGAATATTTCAAATGCCAATGGAGTTTCTCGGCTTCCCATTTTTGTCAACAGCCTGGCTAATTCTGTATTTGATAAAAATCTAGACATAAGGAAAAAAATATTTCGTATTTATATTTTACTCGCGCAATCGGTAATAGGTTATGTCACAATTATCAATAATGGCACCACGTGCTCTCTTTCTGCTCTGTGAACTATGGTGCAAATAACGTTCCTCGTTTTAGCTGCACTTTCTTGCAATTCGGTTTCTCCTAGTTTCTCCTGTTCTCTCCTAAGCTCTCGAATATGTATCTGTTTCATTGCTCACATGTAAAAGAGTGCAGCTGCGAATTCGTGACAGGTGATAAAAATAGCATCGTACCCGAAGGAGACGTACTACCCTGCTTGGAATATAAAGTGCAGATATGTATGCGATGAGAGACGAATTTACCGGGATAATACTGGCAATTGGCACAAAGTTCGGGTGTTTCTAGCCAAAATATTAAAGAAGAAAGTTTATGTCCGGTGTATGTCGTGTGTGCATCATCAAGATATCTCGCGTTTCCGCACAATTGAACGACGCGATTACAGCTTTGTGTCGATACAAAATTAGAAGTCCCGTCTATCTGTGGTAAACACACGTCGAAGTTCACCGTTACAATAAATACTTCATTTACAATTAAAACAATGTGATACGTATACTGAAATCATTGTCTGAATAGGTGATGTTTGTGCAATTGTTTACAGCTGATGCATAGTACATACATATACGTACAGTATGATGTGAACAAACCTGTTAAATTTCACGTAATGAAAATACACTTGAGGAACTAATCTTTCTGGCACGAATTTTCAGGCAAGATTAAGCAATCTTCCTATCTAATAATATAACATGACAGGAGAATAGAATAGTTTTACAATAAAACATATATTTAGCACAGAGAATCTCACTTTTTTGGCTAGTAAGAAGACAAATATCAATCTAGCTGAAAAGGAGAACAGAAGAATGGCGTGTTGTGTCGCGTTTAAATAGAAAATTGGAAGAAAGAAAATGAAGATTATACTAGTTCAAACTGTACATTCGACGTTAATTATATGTGAATACAGTACTCTGTAAATGTTTGCGCTATGATTGACTCTTATTGGATATACATCGACGCAAGAAAAAACTGCACATTCAAAGAAGAATTGTCTTCGTTATTGTAGTGAACGATCGCGGTTAGCTAATCAACAGCAGATATGAGAACTGAGGTGTCTTGGAAACGGCGGCTTCAACGAAAGCGTCTGAAGTACACGTTGGTGTGCGTTCTTGTAGCCGCCGTGATATTTGTGATGCATCAGCTATTGTACTTCACAGAGTTGAATTCACAGAATACCAACGTGGGCAAGTTGATCGTCGGCTCACTGAAGGACTCTCATCGCGTGATCGTCGGCAACAAAGATACTTCCAAGTGGCAGCAGCCGCAGCATTCAAAGCTCATACGCGAAAAGAACGGTCGCACTGTGTCATTGCGCGGTTCACGAGACCAAGACGTCGGCAAATACCTGCCCAATGCCAATGGCAAATTTGTGTGTTTCGCAGAGAAGACGGAAATTGATTTTACAAGAATTAATGACGATTATTGCGACTGCCCAGCGGATGGCAGCGACGAGCCGGGCACCAACGCATGCAACAATGGTTTCTTCTATTGCGAGAAGAGTTCCAAACAGTCAGCAGGTATAATCACTATATCTTGCATTTGTTATTGTAGAAAGTTACATGAAATTTGGAATACAAAGCATCGGTTGCTTTGCAATTGTTGTAAAATCCATGACTGGTATACGCTCTTAGATTCAGCGAAGATTAAGAGTATATTCCAATCAGATTCACAAATTTTTACGACAGTTGCAAAAATAGCTTTCTTACTGAATATAGATACTTTGTGCATGAGTGCTTCGTATAAAATCTATGTGTAAAATTACAGTGAAAATACCATCGTACAAAGTCAATGATGGATTTTGCGATTGTTGCGATGGTTCTGATGAGTGGGCTGAAGTGCCAGTATTACATAAACTCAGTGGTAATATTTTAAATACAGCTTAATTAAGTAGAGAGATACATAAGAAATTTATTCAATAGTGTTATTTTCTATATTAATAAATTTATTACAGATTCAGGCATAATTTTCCAAGGACTGAAATGTCCAACAAGATGTTAACAAGAGAAATATGGGTGTCACACTTACATCAGAGGAAAAGTACTGTTATTTCTTTTTTATGTTCCAATTATTGTGGATTTATATATTGCAATAGGATTGGCACAATTAAATATAAGCGATAATATATTATCAATTTGTCTAGCAAAGTAACTTCATATTTTCTTCTTATCATAAGAAAATACACTTATATAATATATGCATTGTAGATAGCTATAAGTGACAAAATATTGGATATGAGAAGGTGTTTCATTTTTTTTTAGCACATATTTGAGACTAATATACAGAATTCTTTGAGAGTAAACCTCAGAGTTTACTTTTAAAGAATATACCTCGGAAAATAATGTAATAATGTATGCATATAAAAGCAGCTTTTTTTTCTTAGTAATATTAATTTGTTAGTATTATGCATTAGATTTTACATTATTTAGGTATTCCCTATTACCATTTTTTTTCTATGTATACTTATTTATTATAAAATATATTCTTTTTTTATTTTCCCTTAGTTTGATTTATTTGTAATATGCATAAACAGATCTTGTTATATAATACGTTATTAGGAAAAACGATATATTAAAATTATGTGAAAATTTCGCGAATATAAGAACAGAAACTTTACATTTTTATTATTGTTTTGGATTGTTAAATGAAATTAATTTTGATTATTGATTCAAATTAATAATTATTTAGAAAAATATACATATCATAATAAAATAATAATTACGAAAATTGTACAGAAAACAATTATAATGTAAATAATGTATTATATGCGACTTATGTTTAATTTTTTGCAATTTGTGACTAGATTAAGATAACAAAACAAAGGACGCAGTAATTATATGTGCGTTGCGACGTAATGCGAGTTTGCAACGGTTAAATGTATTTTACGAAATCATTTGTTCAATCATAAAATTATAATTTGTATATTTTAAACATTATCTTGATTCTCAAGTGAGAAAAAAGTTTATCATTTTATCAACTCTGTACAGTTCATAGACAATTCTAAACTTCAACAGTGAAAATAGCTTTATCGTACATTACTTCCAATACAAGTAAGAACGTTGAAGTGCGATGATAAACTTCGCGTTTTTTCCCCGAAATGTAGGACTCGTTGTACAGGTATTCCCATGCTTCGCAAACTCTCGCTGAAGCAATTTTCTTCCTCGCGGATCCAAGGCCGATGAGTGTCTCGCACTTGATATGGTGTGACGTGTATATGTGTGTTTATTCCTAAAGAAAATATAAGATGTCTCGCAACGAAATGTAATAATGTCAGTGTTATTATTTCAACGTATTTATCTGTTAGTTGATCTCACTTAATTTAACAAAAGAACGAAGTATATTTTGGTCTGTAATCCACGTATTTTTAGGGCCATTGTGTCCAGCATCCAACCACCACATATCCTTGATAAGTTTCATTAAACTATTTACGTCGGTATCTTTATTTCGATGTTCCTGATAATAATGAAATTCGTAAAGAAATTGATTTAGAACTGCACAACCTTTACTGAAGCCCATCAAACTTAAGTTTGTCATCTCAATATTGTAGTCGTCGATATCCTAAAAATATAAAAACATATACCATATTTGATATATACTGTTTTTTAAGTATTACAGATGTGTATTACAAATATATAATTATATTAAAAGATCTAATTTATTATAAAAAAATGACAGATACATACATTTATTGTATAAATGAGTGCATACCTCTCTCGTTCTTAGTGTTTTGACATGTTCTAAGCAACACAACAGTAATTCTCTTAAATGCTTTAAAGCTTTGTGCATCAAGCAAAATGAGGGTGTACCATATTTATCTCCTGGTACAAAATTATCAAAGCAACTGAATACTGCATTCCTAGTTATTGACATTCTGAAATAGATGTGAAATTATTATATATATAAAGTATATGAAATACGCATTCACATCAAGAGGATATAGGCACAGGGTGCCCGAACCTCCATGATGACCCTTGATGAGAATGTAGAACGGATTGAGGTGAACAAGAAAGTCCCGTGCCGTTTTGCGATATTCGCAATAATAGTCGAGATATTAAAAAAGATTGATGAATGATCACACGCAATATAGTAGATGAGTTGCAATGGAGCCGTTATACAGGGTGTAATAAAAGTATCAGTACCCCTAAATAAATTTCCAGGATCGCATTTTCCGAGAAAATCATTCAGACAAAAGTTGCATAGTTTTAACCTAGCGATTCGATGGTGACCTTGTCTTTGACCTCGAGGTCATTTTTCGAGGTCATTTCAAGGTCAACTTTTTTTTTAACGTTCGAGATAAATGTTTTGGACGAAAGTTGTAGGGTTTCGAACGGGGTATTCGTTGGTGACCTTGACTTCGATCTTTGACACATCCTGAGAAGTCTTAGGGACCCTCCTCCTTTCTCGTTTCAAACCCAAAGTTTATTATTCAGCTTTTATTATTCACATCAATCATATCTGAATGTAAAATTTCCCGCTCTTCCCGATTCTGGAATAAAAAATAGGGGTTTCCATTAAAAAGAAAAGTTGACCTCGAAAAATGACCTCGAGGTCAAAGACAAGGTCACCATCTAATCGCTTGGTCAAAACCTTAAATCTTTTGTCTAAAATGTTTCTCACCAAGTCACCTGCTTCGTGATTCATTACTATGCTCAAATAATGTGAGCTTGAAATGATCTTGAGGGGTCCCTTGGACCCATGGGTCAAATACATATCTGAATGTAAATTTTGCCGCTCTTTCCGATTCTGGAATAAAAAATTCTCAAGTGAGAAAAAAGTTTATCATTTTATCAACTCTGTACAGTTCATAGACAATCCTAAACTTCAACAGTGAAAATAGCTTTATCGTACATTACTTCCAATACAAGTAAGAACGTTGAAGTGCAATGATAAACTTCGCGTTTTTCCATTTAAAAAAAAAAAGTTGACCTTGAAATAACCTCGAAAAATGACCTCGAGGTCAAAGACAAGGTCACCAAATCGCTAGGTCAAAACTATGCAACTTTTGTTTGAATGATTTTCTCGGAAAATGCGATCCTGGAAATTTATTTATAGGTACTGATACTTTTGTTACACCCTGTATATTTATATATTAAATCAAACTAAACCAAAAAGTCCTCTATCATTTTGCAAATTACATAGATTTTTAAATATTAAAGAAAATTGTTACATATATGATTGTATACTATAATGTACAAATTTTCTTTAATTAATATCTAAAAATCTATATGGTAATTTACAAAACGGTAAAGGACTTTTTTATTCAGTTTGAATTAATGTATAAGTATACAACGGCAGACGGTGCCTCTGCAGCTCATCTACCATATTGCGCGTGATCATTCACCAATCTTTTTTAATTAATATCTCGACTATTATTGCGAATATCGCAAAACGGCACAGGACTTTCTTGCTTACCTCAATCTGTTCTACATTCTCACCAAGGATCATCATGACATCCTGTATAAAGGAGATAAAGGAGGATTATAAAGGAGGAGAGCCAATAAGATCAATTTTTGGGCCATGAATGTCACACTTTCTTGATGAAATATTCGTATAGTTGAGGTTGAGAGCTTTCCGAAACACCTTATAAAAACTTTTTTACATTGGGAGAAACTAGGCGTTACGCGCCTTCAAAGTTTGAGTAATGAGGGTCATAGAATGGGCGATAGTAATATTTGCTTCTTTACAAGAACCTTAGAACTAAATAAACTATTTATATAGAACTATATAAACTTTTATTGCATTAAATATATGTATAAAAACAATATTCTATTATAAAATTATATATAAAATATATCCTATATATAAAAAAAATATAAATATTGATATTGATAAAAACGGACCACCTTCCGCGAGGACGATGATCTTTACATATGTTGTCAAGGTCATCATCCTGAGTAACATTCAAAAGGTTTTAGCCGTCGTTCATTGTTTGTTAAAAAGTTATTAACAAAATAAGTTTTATAAAACTCTGCTGTCATGATAGTTCTCATAGAGACATGCATACATGCATGCACGCACACACATACACAGGCTTGGTTTACATTGTGTACTTGATACATGTATTAAATAGTAACTTTCTTTTAAATAATCTTAATATCGACAATGTATATAAACAACAGTATATTAAGTTGGTATAATATTCATCAAGAAGACATATCATATTGATTGAATGCGTCGTCATATGCATTGTCAATATTAAGATTATTTAACAGAAGGTTACTATTTAGTAGGCATGTCAAGTACACAATATAAACCAGACTACAGATGTACAAACACACATATAAATACAATAAAAATAGTTTATTTAGTTCTTAAGAAAGTGCAACATTCATGGCCCAAAAATTGGTCTTATTAGTCTTCCTCCTTTTCAATGTCTTTCATTAATCATTTCATTATTGAAACACTAGTAATATATTTGTATGATTTAAAGAAATAATATTGCTTTTGTATATAGCATGATAATTATTTCTTTACCTGGCTGGACGAATAACAAATATATGACTACTAGGAAACTGTTCAGAAAGAATAGATGCTGTATTTTCCAAACTCCATTTCAAATATCCTTTACTGTCTGGATGCTTTTCCATATTTTCTTGTGTGTCCTGTCACAATTTCAAGATCATATAAATAAAATATATACCAGCAATTTCTCAGATATCAATCTTACTACAGGATAAGTTAATATTATTTCATAATACAAAGCTTCGTATAGTTTATATATAACTATTATAGCAGTTTTTATATAATATAATAGATTTATTATGGAATGACAATAAATAATAAACAGTGTTACATTTAGGAAACAAGCAAACAAATAATTGAACATAATTATATACGTACATAATACAAACATAAATTAAAATTTATTATTTACAGACTGATTGTGGATGTACCTGGACATCACCACCAAAGAATACCAGAAGATTAGGTGTGGGTAGTAACTTTGGTCGCATATAAAGTACGTCGTTGCATCGACCTGGAATACCAGGTATGTTTTTCCATATCCAAATTTTCGACCCCATTGTCATCTGCAAAAAGTAATTATATATAGTAAAATTTTATTCATCTTAACTGCGTTTCTTGCAATTCTACCGTATATTCAAAACAATAATGTATAACAAGTGAATTTGTGTTAAATAATTAAATTTTGGAAGCAGAATATAAAGAATATAAAGAAAAAATACGTGAATAAAATATAATTAAGATAGGGAAAAACCTAGTTAATTGTTAAACGAATCCTATATTAAGCTGCGTTCGGAAACGTCACCTAAGTGTATGTTGCGTTTGAGTGAGCGAGATACAAGAGTGAGATAAAAAAAGAGGGAGAGTATTCGAGTGACGTTTCCGAACGCAGCCTTACCTATGTTGGCAAAAACGCGAAGTATTAAGGGCTGCAGGAGTCATACTAGAGACATCTGGCGGAGAGCCGAGAATTAGGCAAAGGTAGAAAAGAAATTGTGGCCAAAATACAGAAAGAATGGCTTCATAATTGCAATATTTGTAATCAAGATAAACGTTTATAGGTCCATATAGAGCGATTTTTGGAAAAAAAGATGAAATAAATATCGAATAAATTATTTGAATGAACATTCGACGCGGGTGCAGTATTGAGCCTAACATTTTAATGTTATGAATTTATAAGGGGCCAACTGCAAAATCGAGCTCTGTACTGACCTCAATAATGGGTACGTTTAGGAGACACAACGGTTACACAATAGTTGAGTAATTAGTAGAGAACCTCTAGTACAGAGAATCGCCAACTTGGTCACGTGACCAGTTGATTGACTGGCATAAATAGGGAGCGTCCCGATTGACCACGGTACGATTGGACACAACCAACCGATGAAAAGAATTATCTAGTGAATTACTAGGTCGAACTAATCATTACAATCTGTGTCCAATCGTATCGTGGTCAATCGGATCCCACCCGCATAAATATATACGGATTTAGACATTGCGACGCCAATGCAGAACAAATGCTTATATTTATATACAGGATATCCCGCGTAAGACGGACCAAAAGAAAAATATAAGTAGAACACATAAAAGTGAACAAAAATTGTATAGGTTATTTTTTAAACAACCACGTAAAATTTCAAGATATTAATTAAAATAATTGGACAAATTAGAACGCGTGATGTGACAGGCGGAATATACGGCTCGCAGCGGTCGGCGAAGAAAATGGAAGAACGCACACGTATACGGACGCACACACGGAGCTACTCATTTCAGTATGCCTAACGGCCCACCTCTCAGGCCTATGAGATAGGCCCGCGAGCAATCATTCATTTTCTTCGCCGGCCGCGGCGAGCCGTATGTCCCGCCTACCGTGTCGCCGCGCTCTGATAGGCTCAACTATTTTAATTAATATCTCGAAATTTTACGTGGTTGTTTGAAAAATGGCTTATATAATTTTTGTTCCCTTTTATGTGTTCTACTTATATTTTTCTTTTGGTCCGTCTTACGTGGGACACTCTGTATATATATATGGTTTTGCATCGGCGTCGCAATGTCCAAATCCGTACATGTTTATGCCAGCCAATCGCAGAGTAACTGAGTAGCTGGTCACATGACCAAGTTGGCGGGTGGGACCCGATTGACCACAATACGATTGGACACAGATTGTAATGATTGGTTCGACCTAGTAATTCACTAGATAATTCTTTTCATCGGTTGGTTGTGTCCAATCGTACCGTGGTCAATCGGGACGCTCCCAAGTTGGCGATTCTCTGTACTAGAGGTTCTCTATCTTTGACGTTTTTCACATATAACCTAACCTACAACCTAGAACCAAATTTTACAATAAAGCGTATACCTTTGATTATATAAGTATGGATTGCCAGTTGGCATTCTCACGCTGTAATCAACATGAAGAACGCCTCCAAGGGCTAAGTGGCGAATCCCAGTATTTTGATGACATATTGGGTGTTCCTGATAATGGGTGTTTACGACAATTATGGCTCCTGCATATAGGACGCAGTAATGCCGTCCTGCGAACTTCCGCCGCGCGGCAAGCATTACCGCGTCCTGTGTGCAGGAGCCATAACTTAATGTCTTAAGGGACGTCTACATTGGAAATAAATAGCAAGAAGTAGGAAGTAAGAGTAAGAAATTGACCAACCACAGTCGAATGTGAGAAGAATAATCAACTATGATTGGTCAATTTCTTATTCTTACTTCCTACTTCTTACTGTTTACTTCCAATGTAGACGTCCCTTGACCATAGGAACAAGCTGGAGTAAGAAGTAAAGAATGCGTATTCGACATCAGGGGTTCGATTGTGTATCTCAAATCGGAGTGAAAATGACAAAAGTGAGCAAATTTACTAACATATTTGTAACTTCATTGGACAATGCCTAGTGAATTTGCTCATTTTTGTAATTTTCACTCCGTTTCAAGATACACAATCGACCCCCAGGTAATAATTTCGTAAAATCTCACGATTATACCTATATTTTTTTAGTGTATGGTAACATCATTTGTATTTTATTTTTTATTGTATGTATATATTTGTAGATTTTTGCAAAATTCAATCAAAATCTAAAAATATATACATATAGTCAAAATCTACAAATACATACAATAAAAAATAATAAAATACAAACAATATTACCACACGTTAAAAAAATATGGATATAATCGTGAAATTTTACAAAATTATTATCTGATGTCGAATGCGCGTTCTTTACTTCTTACTCCAACTTGTTCCTATGGTAAGGCATTGAGTTATAGCTTCTGCACACAGGACGCGGTAATGCTTGCCGCGCGGCGGAAGTCCGCGCGACAGCCAATCAATATGTTGTTTTTCCGTAAGAGCTAAAAGGTTATTACGGAAAGCAGCATATTGATTGGCTGTCGTGCGAACTTCCGCCGCGCGGCAAGCATTACCGCGTCCTGTGTGCAGAAGCTATAACTCAATGCTTTACCATAGGAACAAGCTGGAGTAAGAAGTAAAGAAGGCGCATTCGACATCAGATAATAATTTCGTAAAATTTCACGATTATATCCATATTTTTTTAACGTGTGGTAATATTGTTTGTATTTTATTATTTTTTATTGTATGTATTTGTAGATTTTGACTATATGTATATATTTTTAGATTTTGATTGAATTTCGCAAAAATCTACAAATATATACATACAATAAAAAATAAAATACAATAAAATACAAATAATGTTACCATACACTAAAAAAATATAGATATAATCGTGAGATTTTATGAAATTATTACCTGATGTCGAATACGCATTCTTTACTTCTTACTCCAGCTTGTTCCTAGGGTGTATATCAGTTGGACACGGGGCAATTGGACACAGTCCAATCACAAGTCGCTGTTCCAAGGGACCCTACAAATGTCTCTAATCACACGGTGCTGTGATTGGCTATGTCCAAATGCACCGCTCCCTGTTCCTATGGTAAGACATTGAGTTATGGCTCCTGCACACAGGACGCGGTAATGCTTGCCGCGCGGCAG